TGCTTCCATTTTTTTTTCATTTCCTTTTTCATTAACATTATAGAGAGCTTCAAGGCAAGAAGTGGTTTTTATTTGTACCGATTGTAGACCTGAATCATTAAAAATATTTCATTCACCGAAGTCCAAAAAACAGTCAGCCCGATTTTTCTTCATCCCGTGTATCTTTTATTTCACTTTAGTTCATTCATTTTTCGTTTCTCTTTCTTTCCGTCCTCCACCCTCTCTCTCTCTCTCTCTCTCTCGCTCCAGTCAGTAACGTCGTTCCATCCTCGCTTCACAATGTGTCCGTCCGACGTTGTTGCAGAATTTTCAAAATTGCATAATTCCTTTTTTTTGTTCGCTCGTCAATCGCTCCAGTCAGTAACGTCGTTCCATCCTGTATCTTTTATTTCACTTTAGTTCATTCATTTTTCGTTTCTCTTTCTTTCCGTCCTCCACCCTCTCTCTCTCTCTCTCTCTCTCGCTCCAGTCAGTAACGTCGTTCCATCCTCGCTTCACAATGTGTCCGTCCGACGTTGTTGCAGAATTTTCAAAATTGCATAATTCCTTTTTTTTGTTCGCTCGTCAAAATTTCTCTTCCAATCCGAGCAAAGTGCGTAGTCCGTGTGAACCCGCGCGCTGTGGACGTGCGTGTGTGACCACGTGGACCCAAAAAACACACGTGGGTATATCCAATACCAAAATTTTCTTCCTTTTTGTCTCGTCGATCGACTTCAAAGACGACAAAAAGGGTATCAGATTGATAAAAAATATCAATATTGCTACGTATACGAAAATTGCGGACGCAAAAATATGCCATCTAAAAAATCTATTTCGCGTAACCCCTCCTCCACCCACAAGACGGTTACCCGAATTCGTATACACGCGTATAATGGTTTCCCCATAAGAGTCGTATACAGACGTATGTATATATTATAAGAGAATTTTTTAATAATTTCTTTTCTCTTAGTCAGTTATATTGAAAGTTTTATCAAAGCGACATCGCGCATGCGCGACACCGTATTCATTGGACGTAGCAGTATCAAGTATTCGTATAGTAAGTTAATCATCGTAATTAGCGATAATCAGTATGATTCCCTTTACGTCCACAGCCGGGGACTTTTTTGTTCTCGATTTGATATCCTTATCCGTACGTTTTATTTCACTTAAACGTTTCACATTTTTTCCCTCTGAATCTTCATGTATTCATATACGTCTATATTTATACTTGCTTCATTCTCTCTCTCTCTCTCTCTCTCTCTCTCCGTGCTCAATGGTTCGTTATTTTCATCCTTCCTTCCTTCCTTGTTCTTTATTTCAAAATTCGCTTCTTTCCCGCCTCGCTATAGTCGTTACGCTTATTAAATCTACGGTTAGTATACTCGGAGTATTGTGTACAACCTAGCCTAGATTTTATCATATTTTTTTTTTCAATTTAACTTATACCTTGCAAACACACGCGTACGTACACGCGTACACAGACTCTCCCTGGTTTCGGAACACGTAGACGGGTCCACGCAGAGACACTCTCATTCACACGCCCACTCTCTCTCTCTCTCTCTCTCTCTCTCTCTCTCTCTCTCTCTCTCTCTCTCTCTTTCTCACTGTCACATACGTCAATCGTATTTCTCGCCGTGTTTTGCCGCCCAATACCGAGGTGCCCGGGAAACAAAAAAAGTTATAAAAATTAAAAAATGTATCTGGAAATAATGCCGAGTAAAAAAATTAAAGAGGCTATTTTTTTGCAGTATCCTGGAAATCGGATAATTTTTTACTCGCGATTATCAAATCCTTAGATTGGGGTATGTGTTGTGTGTACGCCACCTATATGCATATATATATATATGTGTGTATATATAATATGGATGGACTCCTCGTATTGCTAGGGCCTATACGGTAATTATCTAAGTATCTAAAGCCTATTAAGTATGCAATTCATTAATCATCATGTATGTATTATTAGTAGGAACCATTTTACAACTATCCGAGCCGATTAAGCTTGCGCGCGATCTCCCCCTCTTCCCTCCCACACTCGCAGAACATTACTTTGCTGCACAAGAGAAGGATGGAATTTTTCTTTTTTTTTTATTCCTGCTAATTCGAAAGAAAAAAGAGATAGAAAAAAGAAAAATCATTCCATCGCCTCCACGAACGTTACTCGAGAACGTCGAAAGAGAACGAGAAGACAAACGGAGGAAGTTGATCGACGATGAAAATGGCCGGCGAATACAAGGATTAAGTCTTACGCGCACGGGAAGACGCGACGATAATGAATGAAACACGAGGACGACGAGAAGATTTGGTAAAATCGTGAACTTAAGAGCTATACGTCATGGCTAGTCGAGTAAACGCGGCGCGACGCGCCATCTTCATCTCTTTTTTGTCTCAGTATACTCGAACGAGCGAACTTTTCGTTGGAAACGGGTAATAAGAAAGCGTTAAAAAAATTTGTCGCCAAAACGAGATCCGTCGCGGACGCGATTTATCGACCTAAAAAAACCTATTAAAAGAAAAAACGAAAGCACGCGTCAAAACGTTACTCTTCCATTTTTTTTTCTTTTTTCACATCCCTTTTAGATTTTTGATTTTGTCAAATTTGATAAATATTCATCGTTTTCACGTTACGACGTCAGGACACGAATTTTGAGAACGCTAGTTACGACCCCACGTCGCAATAAATGTCGCGACCGAAATTTTTATTTTTCGAAAAATCTCTTTCCCCATCCTTACTGCGTCCTTCCCGCTATCGTCTCCCTCGCGCGAGAGAATTAAGGGCGCGCGCGCAACAGATCGACCGAATTCGTCCGGTCGCGCGAATTTATTATCCTGACAAAATTTTACGTCGTTCATATTTTTTTTTTAAAACGTTTATCCCACCCCCGCTCAAAAATTCTCCTATAAATATTCCCGTTTACCCGGTACACCCAATGTCTCCCTATTTCGTGCCGATTCGTGCCTCGCACTGACCCCCCATCCATACGTTATCGCGCACATGCGTGCTCGCCTTTACGCGTCTGGTTGGTCTCTCGCGTATATTACACCCACGTGTGGCCCAAGAAAGTGCGGGTGAGTGTCTACGCGTGTCAATCGTGTCAATCGTGTCATACTGTGTACCGTTGATTTCTTTAACGCCGACCGCATAAAATCCGATCGGTCGCGTATGTACGCATCTAAAAACGAGCCCTAAAGCCTAAAACTCTAATCTGCCTAATCTGCTATGTACTATATGTATATGTACGTCTCTGCTGCAGTGTATGTATGTATATACGTATTATACGTCGCGCGTGTATGATACACTTAATTTCACTATAAATCTAGACAATATATATTTTTTCCTCAACATTCATATATATATAATAATTAATAATAATTATATAATTAATAATCATTTCTCTCGTCGATCTCGCGGTTCGCAAAAAAGCGCCGCCTTTAAACCTTCGAACAAAAAAAAATACAGTTACTCTGTATTACAGTACACACGCACACCCACCCAACACACGCTCCCTTAAATATATGTATACATATATATATATATATATGTACCATATGTACGTATATGCACATATTGCGTATATATATATATACGCCGTATACATTATAAACGTAGGCGCCCGGCCACTTATTTTCCTCGTACGCGCGCCGCATCCCTCATCTTGTGTACGGACCTTAATAGTAATTAGTTCGCAAGAAAATTGATGCGACTGGCACGTACGAGGGTTGTCGCTTGCTCCATCTAAACTTTCCCTCCCTCCCTCCCTCCCACTCTCTTTCACTCTTATACCACGCATTAACGCACACTCTCAATTTCATTCTCTCCCAGGCTTTTTCGACGAGCATCAAGCAAGGATCGTTCGATAACCTAATTTCTCCTTCACTCTAGTTCCCTCGCAATATTAAGTTCTCTTCGCAAACTGCGATCAGGTTCTTCGGTCGTCCGCCAGATGTCAGATCAATTGTTAGAAATCACATATGTATATATATATGTATATATCCGGAAACTCGGTCCTCTCTCACTCCCGCCGCTGCTCCCATCGTTACTTTTATTTTTTTTTTAATTATGTGTCCCTTAAACTATTGTTTTATTATGTGCACTGAGGTAGACGGATGGAATTATTTATGGGGGTCAATTTTTTTTTTTTTTTTTTCTTATTTCGATTCCGCGCAATTATCTATACGGGGAACTGGAGATCATGCTGCTCTTCCTTAACAGACTCCTGTTTTCACTTTTTTTTTCCTTTTTTTCTTTTTTTTGTTAATTTCTCTTGCGACTTATAAGCGCTTATGACACGTCTTCGACATTCATGTGGCACGACCGTCAGTACGCATGCGCACCGTACGTCGTCGTCTCATAACCACTTGTGCCATTCGTCTGAAACTCCCGATCTCGAAAAAAAAAAAAAAAAAATAGAATCATCTGAGGTAGTGGATGGACTCTTCTTTGTTTCACTATCTGGTTTCTTTCTTCTCGACTCCCTGTTACACCTCGGTCTTTGGTGCATTTATACGGGCCATATATGTATCTTATGGGAGAATCCATGCCATGTGTTTCACCCTGTGTGTTACTATATTATTATTATTATTATTACTATTGATCTCTTGTATTCGCATTTCATTGATATCCTGTGTTTTAGGCGTCTTTTATCATCTACGTGGAACTTTTTACCGAGGATTCGAGCTTGTTACGTGTTGTTATGTGTGTATTAATATGTATTCATACAGCATATATATGATGTATATATATATATATATTTATTTATATAGTGTATTCGCGAGTGTTTTCGTATATTCGACGGAAAGTACTGTCGTGTATTGTTTTCCATTCAGATTGCGAGAAGATCGTCGGTGCGCGTCCCGACGCGGAAGATTAAGAATTCTTCCTATATCTTAATGTTCTGTTTTATTTCTTTACGATTGTTTTTTACTCTCTCTCTCTCTCTCTCTCTCTCTCTCTCTCTCTCTCTCTCTCTTTCTCTCTCTTTCTCTCTTTCTGTTTTATTTCTTTACGATTGTTTTTTACTCTCTCTCTCTCTCTCTCTCTCTCTCTCTCTCTCTCGCTCTCTCTTTCTCTCTCTTCCTCTCTCATTTCTTTTGCGGGTCGATCGATAGGAACTAAAACGTGCTCGGACCTCGCCGTCGATGGCCGTATTCCTTAGATTCCCAACGATTGCACACACTTTCTCTCTCTCTCTCTCTCTCTCTCAGGCACTCTCTTGCACCCCCCTCCTCTCTCTCTCTCTATCTCTCACACACTCTATCTCTTTTTCTCTTTAACGCTAAATCTCATATACTCACTGCATGTTTTTTTTTAAAAAGTAATTTTCGTTTTCTATAATCTCTCGTTATCAGCCTACACCGTATCGAGAAAGCTCAAGAGAATCCGAGGATTGTGTTTTCAATTCTAACCAAAGAAATTCCGTGGACACTTGCAGTTCCCTTCGAGCGACGCTCGCGCCCTCGAGGATAAGGCGCCGGTATTGTTGAAGTTCCATTAACATGAAACAAACAAAAATTGACGTTTTACGGGCCATCCCTTACTCGGCCTTCACGACTTCCGGTTCCTCGTTCTCGCTGAAGTCATCTTCCTCGCCGCCGGACGACTCGGCCTCCTCCATCGGCGTGTGACCCTGGAGTTCCTGTCTGTCCTCGTGAACGACACCAGGTCCTCGACCCTCGTCACGACCAATTATAGGGTAGTCCTCAATGCCGCGACCGCCGAGCTTATCCATGGCGCTCATGTGGGCCATCTTGGCCGCGTGGGCAGCAGCCACGGCTGCTGCCTGCTCGGGGCTGAGACCCATCGTGAGACCAGAATTCTCAGCGATGAACTGTAGATAGGTGTCCAGAATGGCTGAACCCGTTGCGCTGTTATGGTGACCTGGACCAGGATGACCCGGCGGATGTAACGGCGCTGTGTTTGGCTCTCGGCTCCCGTGCATCGTGTCCATCGACTTGGCGGCTATAGCCGTCGCGGTTTTGCTGACTTTCGTGATGACCGTGTTGTTGTTCGGCGTCGGTGATCCGTACCTCAGGCTCAAGGGGAGCGTCAGGTCCTCAGGATCGTCCCCACCGCACACGGAACTCCCGGCCTCGGACGGTGCACCGCGTGGCAATTCCAGACGCATGTCGCCCCTACGTGGTCCCGTGGGACTCGCCCTGGCTCGCAGCTCCGCGGGACTCACCTTCACGCCTGCCTTGGCCAACAAACGCGACGCCAGTTCCGGATCGAAGGGACTCGGCATTGGCAGCACTGGCAGATCCTTCGTGCTTATTCCGCGATGCTGCCGCGACATGTGCGAATGCAGGGAATTGCGTGACTTGGCAACGGTGCCGCACAGCACGCAACGGTAGCCTGGACAGATCGTGTGCTTGTCTTCCAGATGAGTTCTCAGCGTGTGAGCCGATCTATAGATCTTGCCGCACTTCGGACAGGGTCGTGGATCCGTGGCCCGCACTCGCATCATGTCCAATCCACGTCGGGCAACTGTAACGAGCAAATAAAAGAAAAATCATTTTAATCGTCCTTTCGAGTAGAACCGCTCAAAAAAGTATACAAGGATTTTGGAAACTGTGGGTGCAAAACAAAAATGAGCCACATTTTTTTTTTACTGAATACGTTTTTTTTTTTATTATACAAAGCATTACTTAAATAGTATACTTCATTTGATATACTAAAGTCTATTGTTTTTTTTTTTTTTTTTTTTTTTTTTTTTTTTTTTTTTTTTTTTTTTTTTTTTTTTTTTTTTTTTTTTTTTTTTCTAAAATAGTTGGCGCATGTGTGTCAAGTGTGTATTTGCCGGATGTCTGTCAATGCTTATCGTAATCTATACATTGTTCAATGTTTATAATTTCTTTTTTTTCTTTTATTTAGTGATTTATCGTAATACATAATACTCGTGGGCCTCGATCAGCTAATATATATCGCTACGACGTAATACAACCCCCCCCCCCCCA